GCTAAATATCTCCCATCAGCCTTCTTTGGCCTTTTTTATAATTGTTCTGAATTGTGTTTAATAAAATAGTGAATCATACAAGGGAGGTAAAATTGAAAAAAAAAATAAAAAACAGACAACCTCTATTTTTTTTTTCTTTTTTAATTTTATGGATTGAACCAGACCCCCAAAGATATGGTTAAAGGTAAGGAAAAAGACCGGGGGGGGGGGTGGTTGGGATAAGACAGAGAAGTAGAGCCTGTAAGCATTGTTTTCATTACGTCATTTCGGTATACCAGCTTCTGGTAACCATCTAATTGGGTGATTTTCATAGTTTTACGTCAACACTTACGTTACACACGTGGCTTCAAACAAACATGGTGAGCGTGTGTAACCTTCCTTCACCGCACATTTTGACACGAGAAACTGTTTTTCTGGAAGCGTGCGGGCTGAGATATTTAAAAAGGTGTTTACAGGTTCTCTCCATCTCTCTTCCCGCTGTTTTTCGGTCGCTCGCTTTTTTTGCTACTCGCCCGTTTTCTTCTCTCGTCTGCACCGACCGAGAGCATGGCACAGGCTAAGTTCTAGCGCCTTACAGTACGCATCCAAGAGAGCGTCTGTGTTAGAGAAAAAAGTAATGAGGGGCATGGAACGCGCTTCCAAGGAACCGACCTCAGCTGAAAGTAAGGATTGATTTCCACTGTCGCGTAATTTTTACGTGCGCACGTGCGTAAAATTTGCGTTCGCATATAAAAAAGGTCGCACGTAAGCGTAAAAGTAGAACCTCGCTCAACTTCACGTTCAATCTCAACACTTTATATCTTCCCTCTATTTTATTTACGTGATTAAAATTTACGTGCGTTAACGTGCGTAGCCAAAAACGCGTCAGTGGCAATCAACTTTATGTAGGACTATGTGGCGGCGAGTGCTTTTTCTAGTGTCTGGCTGAGAAAAATACCCGCCGAGATTTTTAGCCGTTATAAAAGAGAGATGATAGAAAGTTAAAAGGTCGTGAAATTACTCTCGATGCTTAGTTGAAGAAAGCGAGTCTTAAAGACGTTTCTGTTAGTACGGCAAGGACGACGGAAAAACTGACGGCTCTGAGATATACGGCCAAACGGTAGACGCCAAAGCTGTGTTCTATCGAGTTCAGTATTCGTGCTCAGCAAACTTCTCAAGTGCCCCTCTACAAATCTTGTTAGTAAGTGCTAAGCCGCTCGCTTACCGTGTGAGAATTCTTAATACTACTACATGGTAGTATTAAGAATTCTTAATACTACCATGGTGCCATTTTATGCAACGGAAACTTCACCAAACGAAAGAGACCTTATCGATCCCGAATCCATTAGCGTGTGCTATTTCCTTTATTTGTATAATTTGTATAAAAATCAGTTTGTATTAAAATAACCTCTCTACAACCCCTGCAGGCAAATGCGTATAAGCTAAGTTTGAGAAAAAATGGATGAGAAAGTCACAGAACCTTTCAGTATCTGTATATTGTAACGAAAATAGCAGGCAGATGAGAAACGCGACTTACGAGGAGCAATTAAATGTGATGCGCGCGTGACAGGAGGAAGCGCCTCACTCGCGCCCAGAAAAGCTATCCATTCCGCCCAACCAAACGCGAAGCTTAAACATCGCCATCGGGGCTAGGTTCCTCGAAGGATGGTTAAGCTTAACCCAGGGTTAGGCCAAAATTTCAGCAAGGTTTCTTGTCTAGGAACATGTAACTGGAGCTTGAAAAGAGTGAAGAGGCCCTTAGTCCGTCGAGCGAAACGCTCGAGACACGAAAATGACCACAGGAGTGACTGAAGGCGCGAAAAAAGAGATACTATCTTTTCTCTTCTCAGGCTGCCGCCCTCGCTTCTCGTGGCTTCGCCACACGACACTCGCGCGCGCGTGTAATTCCTTTGAGGAAAAAGAGACGATAAATACTATTGGGGGATTAAACATCATACTCCCGGATAAGTACTAATCAGTCTTTTAGGAACTCCGGGGCTCAGAGAAAGCCAGCGTAAGGTTGAAAGCTGCAAAAAAGAGCTCTCACATCCTCCCCTTGAGAAAGAAAATATCTTCAAGAACAGCCGCTTCCTCTTCATCTGTGTTGACGGTATCGCTGGTCAGCGGACTTGTTCCTTTGTAAGTGTCTTGTGAGTAACCGGAGTCTGAGGTGTCAAGTCCGTCAGCAACCACTGCGTTACCACAAGGCGCGATATGTTTCTCACCCTCCAACCCATCTACAATGTCCACCACTGAAAGCGGATATCCACTGTCTAATGGTATCCTAAAAAATTAATAATATTTCAAATATTGATATACAAAAGCGAACTTTCGCAGGGAAGATGAAGGACAGCGTCATTGGACGGTAACACTGAAGGTTTACCGCGGGCAGACAAGAGAAGTTTGCAAATCTTAAGTAAAGTACTTCAAAGCTATGGTTACTACTTTCACTGTTGAAAGTTCAAGCTATTACCTATACGCTGTTAATTCACTAAACGTTTTGCCTATTTCAATTACCTAGACACGCTAGTGACATGCTGATTAATTCATCTTCACATTTGTTCACCGAGAATAAAATTTATCACCTTTCATTCTTTCACCGTACAGTACGATCTCGATATTGCTGATCCAAGCAGTATGCAGGACGCGGGTCAAATATGAACCTAGTATATGGCCTCGCTCTCCATCTCTCCATGAGTTCTCCGTAGCTCAGTGGATAGAGCGCCCGCCCGGTGTTTGTCCAAAGCTCGTGACATGCTGATTATTTCATCTTTACAATTTAAGCTTTATGGTTTAAGCTTTTTACTTCATGACTTTAATAATTAAATGACGGTGATTTTCTTCACTTGTCACTGCTTGCACTATGATTTGGAAAATAAAATTTTACTACAACCCATTACGTGGTACTGCGTTGTAAGTGTTGTTTATTAGAACCGAGCCTGAAATGACTTATTCGTACCTGCCATAACGTGAGTGAACTTCACTGTACAAGGAAAACCGCTGATCACTGTCAGAAATTTCTCTGTTCAATGAGCCTGTTGGCCTATACGGATTTGCTGAATGAGGCTCAAGAAATGCAAGTTGAGTATTAGATCCTTCGTCTGTTTGAAGCCGTTCTGCTATGGACTCTCCTCTTTCAACGGCGCTTTCTTGATCTACGTTTGGATGAAACAAGTTACTGCTTGCTCTTCCACTAAACAGATTTGGCACAACATAAAAGTCCTCATCTTTTCTTTCTCTCAATGAAGCGTCTGTATGGTTGCTATGACAAGAGCTCCTGGAACTCAACAAACCGTCATTGTGATAGACTACGTCGAGAGTTCCGTTCATGCGCTGTGAAGAGGCTTGGGTATTATCTTTTCTCGAATATCTCACGTAATTTGAATGAGTCGAGGGTACAATGAACTCGTGTTGATATCGAGGCTCTTGATAATGTTCTAAGATTTGCCTTGAATGAGGGAGACTCGGAGGCGCAGACATAACTCGTTCGTGGGAGTCTGGAACTACAGGATCTCTGTTTTCTTTTCCAAGTTCCACTCTAAACGATGAAGAAATAAAAAATAAGAGATATGCCTTGCCAGTATTTTCTGCAAGGATGTTATCTTAGTATCCCAACGTCTATATCGTTGTAATAAATAGCCGTAACGATGAAAAAAGAAAAAGAAAAAAAGACGAGAAATTATTACGCAATACCCAGCGAGCAGAGATTTCTTCCTGGCACAGCCTTTAGCATTTACGAAATCGTTCGCGTCTCTTGTCAATCGCGTTGTTAGTTTGCAAACAAAGCCATGCCAGAAAGAAACCTCTGCACGCAGGGTAAGAAGTATTGGTTTTTAAGAGTTAGGCATGAAAGGGAAAGATGAGTTTAATAACTTACATGAACACAGCTAAACAGTAACACATAAATGGACAAATTGTTAATATTAGGGAAGCGTACTAAAAAATGGAGAGAGCAAAATTCCTCGTCTCTTTTTAAAGGGGCTATGTCACACTATTTGCTGCCTTTTTAAAAAGTTAAATCTTGTCTTCGCATCAATTGAATTTTTTTAAAAAAATGGTCAAGTTTTGCTATTGAAGACTATATTTAGGTATTGATACTGTTTGCTGTCGTTTGTTGTAACGGATGACAAGGATGGGCATGGATTGAAACTTGAAAAAGTTGGCCAAGTTTTTGAAGTTTTATGCTTTGCCTGCAAAAATCACCAAAAATTATTATGGTAACTAGTGCTCCCTGATCAAATTTGTTTGATATATTCTTCATAATTGCGCAGGAGCATTTTGTGTGTAGGTAAAGGAGGCACAAAGTAATGACTTCCGTCAAAATACAGAATTGACCAATAACAGCAATAATATCTTCGTGACATGGCCCCCTTACAATCTTCACACGTTTCAGTTAATGCTTTAACCTGCGCACACTCCTAAATCAAACTCTCAAGAAACTTTTAGCTTAACAAGAATATACAACAATTTAAATTTTAATACTGCAAGGGTTCCAACCTGTTACTTGCCCTTCCACGAGACATTTCAGCCTCAGAGGGTGCACATGATACAAACGTTCCGACAGACGACTCCGCCCTCGATCCTTGTACATCTGCACCTGGTAAGAAACGACCGTTTGACAAAATGGAAGAAGAACCTACAAGGAATCAAAGATAATTAATAACGGACGCAACTTACCGAGGAGAGTCAAAAATCTCGCAAGTACCTAATAAATATTTCAACGAAGATAAAACTTAACACAGGCAGTGCTCTCTCAAAAAAAGACAATAGAAAAAGACTCCGCAAGTGGCTTAAAGATTGTAACCAATATTTGTGAACGCGAGAAAGCACGTGAGAATATAACAGCGAGAAAAAATGGAATTAGTGGGTGACTTCTCTAAAATACAACCGGACTTCAGTGACCGTGGCAGCAGTATAACACACGTACCTTCAGGGGTGGGTATCAGAGATCGAGCTGGTGACACTTGACGGGGCTGTGAGGCGGGTCTGGGCAGTGGAGACGGAGCAGGCGTCTCTTCTACGACTGTTATGGGTTGATTCATTCGACCAGTTAAAGCCTATGGTAGGGTAAGAGCATGTTCGTAAAAACACCATATGCGCGGAAACCAATTAGGCTATCCACTGGATAGTGATTTATCCGGTGGATATCATTGTCTACCTTTCCAACTACTTGGGCCTGGTTGATAGCGCTATCCAGCTTCTGAACAACTGGACCCTGGGAGATCGGGAGCTGTGCTAACTTGCCAACCTTTTATCTCGATAACAAGTGTTACTCTTGAGGGTATCAGGCCAGATATTGCACTCGATGTAATACTTGCAACTTTGTTAGTTTGTTAGTGATCATAATTTCCAGTTGTAGCTTGTGTGATTATAGGGACTTTACGATCCAACAACGGCGACGTCCATGAAAACGTCGCTCAAAAATAGAGTTTGCATCCTTTCGCTTTTTTTCGCGATTATTCCAATTCGCCTGGTTACTTAAAAAAAGCGAATTTGAGTTGGAGATGAAGAGAAGAGCAGATATAGTAGAATTTATCGCCTTGCCGTTCCCGTTCACAAGTCAACTTAAACTTTGGTCATTTTACGTCGTAGTTATGCAGGGACTGCAAAGAAATGTACTAAAAAATGCGATGCCCGCGCAGAGTTGTTGTTTTGCTAATTAAACCTATTGCTTTTTTGACATTTCCGTGGCCGCCGCCGTTTCGTACCTCAATGGGCGACCACCTCCAATGAGTGACCAAAATTTCAAAGTTTTCTAAGTCAAAGCCCTATAGTTAGAACCTCTCGTCAACGACCACCACTTATAAGCGACCACGACCACTTTTTGTGTTGACCGCTTTATAATTTTCCAATGTTTTCAACTTGTCATTTGTAAGCGACCGCTAGACGCATGGTGTGATCTCTATGTTTGCTGTTTGTAATACGCTACGCAGAGTATACGAGAAACTTTAAATGATGGGATGGAGCTACACATATCCTACTTTTGAAATTGCGTGACATAATTTTTTGTTTCACAAAGTGAATAAAAGGTGTCCGGACCTGGACCTCTTCTACTGATTGATTCTCGTAACCGACCACCCCCGGCCCGTACGCGACCACAAAATCTTCGCATCTTGGGTGGTCGCTTATGGGAACTGTATTCGAAGAGTTTACAAAACAAATTACCTGACCAGCAGTTAGCACGTGTTTTGGTGACTTCACTGACGACGGTGGCTGTTGTTGTTGTTGTTGTTGTTGTTCCTGCTGCTGTTGCTGCTGCTGTTGTTGTAGGGTCTCAACCTGTTGAAGTTGCTGTTGAAGCTGTAACTGTTGTTTCTGTAGCTCAATTTGTTGTTGCTGCAGTTGTAATTGGAGCTCGTATTCACGGCAGTATAACCGGTACACAGCATCCAGCTCAGCTGAGAAGTTCCCTGATACTCCAGACGCTTCTGAGAAAGACCTGGTACAAAAACAAAAGGATCTGTAACCGCCGCCTGGTTAGCTCAGTTGGGTGAACGACGGTCTGCTGAGCGGATCGGAGGTCGCGAGTTCAAACCCTTACTGGACCAACACTCAGGGTCTTTATATAACTGAGAAGAAAGTGTTGCCTTTTTAATGACATCTGCAAACTGTTAGACTTTCTAGTCTTCTCGGATAAGGACGAAAAACCGTAGGTGCTGTCTCACAGCACTTACACTTATCTGGTTCTTGTGGGACGTAAAAGAACCCACACCACTGTTTAAAAAGAGTAGGGGACGTAGACCCTAGTGGTATGGCCAACCTGTCCTGGCCAGGGGCCCGTTTCTCGAAAGTCCCGATAATTAACGGGCCCGGTAAGCTGTAAGATCGAGGTTTCAATAGTTTTGCACCTAACATGATAAAACTATCAGTTAATGAAACAAAATGGAGTAGTTTGCTAGCCAGGACCCGTGCTCTTATTCTTTATATTTCAATTTGATTAGTTGATTTCGGGCCCGTACAGTTACCGGGACTTTCGAGGAACGGGCCCCTTGGGCCCGTTTCTCGAAAGGTCCGGTAACTTTTCGGGCCTGATATCAAATATTCAAGTAGAAATAAAAAGAGTAAGAGCGCGGGTCCTGGCTAAAAGACTACTCCATTTTGTTTCATTAACTGATAGTTTTATCATGTTAGATGCAAAACTACTGAAACCCCGGTCTTTAATGTAAACGGAGACAGCTTACCGTGCCCGTTAATTATCGGGACTTTCGAGAAACGGGCCCCTGGGGCCCGTTTCTCGAAAGTTAACGGGCCCGGTAAGCTGTCTCCGTTTACATTAAAGATCGAGGTTTCAACAGTTTTGCATCTAACACGATAAAACTGTCAGTCAATGAAACAAAATGGAGTAGTTTGCTGGCTAGGACCCGCGCTCTTATTGTTTATATTTCGATTTGAATATTTGATATCGGGCCCGTAAAGTTACCGGGACTTTCGAGAAACGGGCCCCTGGACTGGGTGCGCTAACTGTAAGGGGAGATTTTAGTACAGGGATAAACAAATGATCCTCATTCAGGTGTCGTAATGGCTACCTGCAAACATTGTATGTTTCAACTACAGGACTAAAGAAAGCAGTTTGTTTGCCGAATGAATAGAGAATAGCTACCTGTCTTCGTTCTTTCGTGGTGGTATCCTTGGTTCGGAACCTCCAAACACAGAAAACACGTGCTTTTCATGAGTCGGGTACTGGGACATAACTGTAGGACCATGCTGCACCGCAGGCTGTGACTGGGGGATGGACGACGGGACATGGTAACCACCAGTAACGGACGAGGATGTGTTTAAACTAAAACAACAACAAATAACAAAGGCAAAAAATAAAATATAATAATTACAAAGAAACACACACACACACAAGCTACTTTGTTGTTCAGATATAACAGAACAGCCGCAGTTAAAACAGATGGTTATTTGGCCCTTGGTAATTATCAATGTTGTTTTTCGTGTGATTTTAAATATTTGAAGCCATGGACAATTCAACATGTCCCTCTTTCAGTGATCACAAGTACGAATAGCACCTGAAAATTGACATTCTTTCCCACAGGTCCAGGAACAGGCCACTTCCGAGTTCCAAAAACCCTCACCATCAAAATGAGGCCAAGTGCACAACCTTTCTTGTGAAAATGACTTTTATTTGTGTGAGAATGAAAAATCATTTCCATATCAAAGGTTGAGCACTTTACCTCGTTTTGATACAGAGGCACGGGAAGACATGGCCTATTCACGCACATAACTACCTAGAAATTACGAAGTTAGGCTTAACATATTTTAGGGAAGTTATAAGGATCTTAAAAGACAAAGAATTAGGATGTGTTTACAAGGCACCAGACGAATTTTCGACCGGTTGAAAATTCACGCGTTTAGGTGATCGGTTCCCACGCAATCACCTTCAGTAACCGTACGAAACTTGAGACTCCTACTGGCTAGCCTTTCACAGTTCCGTGTGAACCAGGAGCCCATCACTTTAAACTCTGTGAACAGAGCGAAGTGTCCCGTCAAATTTTTTTGCTGGTCGAAAATTCGTCCGCTGGCGTGTGAATGTAGCCTAAAGTTTACCTTGTTTCACGCAGATTCGACGAATTTAATGCGGGTACATCTCCCGGCGTGGTATGTGGTATTATCACGGTTTGGTCACGTGACTGAGAAGTTTCTTTACCATTTGTGTGTGTAGCCACAGGCGGACATCCACCAAGTACACCTTCCGCTATCTGCTTTGCCTGCGGTGACAAGCTCGATTTCCCGCGTACAGATTCTCTTGGCTGACTTAGAGGAAAAGAACTTAACTGATGAAGGGGTTCACTTTTCTCGTGAGGAGCGGAGTCAATTCTCGCTTGCGGAGCAATCACAGGTAACGGTAACTGAGACTTTGAACTGAGCTTCTCACTCACAGTCTCGGTGCTACTCGTATTTGGTCTTGTATTTCCTGGAATTTCTGTCAGCTCAGGTTTGGAGGGTAAACTGTTTGAAGGTGCGCTTGGAGGAATTGATGAGACGTCACCTGAGATCTGAAAAATATATATTTAACATTTTTTGTCGACTGCACAATCATATTCCTTTCCTAGCATATTGATGCTTTTTTCCCGCCGGCTTGTGAGACAAAATTCCCAAAACGCATCAGTCTTTCTTGGACTTTAAAACTATAAAAAAGGACAACAAGTTGTATAGTTTATTTCTTGTTCCGTTCTCACTTGTTGTCTCATGTACTTAAAAGTATATGAGCCATGTACTGTACCTACACGCACGTGTTTCCAATCAAATATCGTAGTCAGCGATTCAATGCTTGTAGAATGTTCAGAAGCGGCGCTGGTTGTTCTAATTTTAATAGTGCATAGCGAGGATATTATAAACGGAAACAGAAATTTAATGATTTTCAGCCAAAAATGTTAGTGTACTTTTTGAAAAGGCCAAAAAGAATGATAGTGATTCACGAAGCCTAGTCCCTAACCTCGTTATTTCGCGCAGCCTGTACGTTTCGGGTCACGAGGTCCGAACGAGTTTTGGAGTCTCCTTGCCGTGGCCAACAATGTTGGGAGTTGCTGCGTCCGTTTTCACGTAGTTAAAAGTTTGACTGGTTTCCAACTTTTCACAACAACTCCCAACAAGAAGGAACAACATGCAACAGAGTGTGCAAACGGACCCAACATGCAAAATCCAACAATGTTGGGAGTTGTTGGCCAACTATGTTGCGTCGGTTTGCACGGGGCTTCAGATAGTAACGTTCCCGAAAAGCATTGACCGAGAAGGCCTGGGAAGACGTCGTACGAGGACTAGAAAAGTGATTTAGGTAATCTATATATTTTATAAACAATCTATATATTTATATAAACAGGAGCTAGAAGAGAGAGATTGTATGTCTCAAACCTGATGTATTTCATTTTGTTCATAAGCTACACTTTTCACAGGTTTTCTTGGTGATGGAGTTCTTCCATTTGACTGATACTTAACCAGCAGCTCCTGTAGTTCCACAAACCTCTTCTGCAGGTCTTCACGACATGTTAAGGATATGCTGGGATCACTTAAATGAAAGCCTTTCCAAGTTACTATTCATTAGCTTTATACCGTGGTCAGTCTAAATAAACAAATTAAAATTTATGATTTACGCAATTCTTGAGTAATCTTGAAAACGGTGAAGGGTGTCCAGCTAAATTTGAGCATAATCAATCTCTTTAACCTGTTCCTCTTTTTCAATTCAACCACCTTTTGTCTTGAATCCTGTAGACCGTTCATGCGTTCCTAGAGTAGCCTGGGAAAAGCCGACATTTCGCAACGTTACCATTGGTTTCCCCGCGAAATGACAGCTGAGGAACGAGCGCAGAAATTCCACAGTGATGACGTGTTACTGCCTAAATCGCAATGCCTCCGATTGGTTCAAGCAAATTTTTCTCTCCGCTAGACCAATTAGAAGTACTGTCGCGATCAGAGTGGTGACACGTCATCAATATGGAATTACTTCGCTCGTTCCTCAGACGTCATTTCGCGGGGAAACCAGTGGTGGTGTCGCGAAAAGTCGGCTGCTGTCTATGGCAACGAGTCGAGGTTTAAGGTGACAAAATCCAGTAATTCGTATATGTAATTGTCTGTAAGTGTCAATCTCTCACTGTGAACAAATACAGTGTATCTGATGTGACTCTCAATTATTATCCATTCAACTCACTATCTCTTTTCTGATTGGCCGAAAGGGTACAGTGAGTTTTCGAAATCAGCGCCTGGGACATCATCTAGCTGCGGATTATACAATAATCAAGTCAAGGACACTCAAGGTCACGGGCATTCATGTCATGTATGACCGTGGTGTATGATTTCTAAGGGTAATCACGTCAAGTTTGCGAGCTTTGTGTTACTTGCCGTCAGTGAAGAAGCAAAAACATGACTTCCAGGTCTGCTTCGTTGACCGAGCAAGACATCGAAAAAATAGTTGAAGACAAGGACTCACAAAACACGAAAAGGTCAACGAAGGTGGCAAAGGAGCTGTTTTCTGATAACATGAAAGAGAAAAAACTGACAGAACCGGAGGAAAAGAAAGAGTTGGCACAAACTTTGAAAACATTTTATGTCGAAGCGAGAAAGAAAGTAATAAAACAATTATTAGATTCGGTTTTTGTGATATCCAGAATTACCTTCGGCCTTCGGCTTCGGTTGATAACCCCTCCCTTGACCTTGATTATTCTGCATCCAATGATTGTTTAGTATTGACATAACAAGAAAGGATACGGTGCTTCTCTTTAATAACGGCATCATATTCTTCCTGCAGGATAGCAAGCCGTTCTTCAAATGCCATCCTCTCTTCTTGAAGTTTCTCTTCAGCATACACCCGTTCCTCACCAACTTTAGCAAGTTCTTTAACCAGGTTAGCCACTCGTTTCTTGTCTTGAGGATTCAATTCCTTTAGAGTAAACTGCTTTGTATTTCTCCCTTGTTCTCTTTTGGGTCTCTCACCTTTAAAAGGTGAAATAATTAACAAAAATGTAAATTAATAAAGGTGCAATCAAGGAAGCTTTCCTGATTGTCAAAAACCACAAGTGCATGCTGACTGCTGACAAAATAGTATTTCAATCAATTCTGGCAATTAATTTGCTCCATAAAAACAAACATGATAAACGCGGGCACTGGTTAACTTTTGTTTTTTTGTTTTTGTTTTTTTCACTCTTTGCTAGTTTTGTTAGAGCGTGCTGGGGAACACGTGAGGGGGAAATGGAGCAAAAGCAAAAGTAAAGGAAATATACATGTAGGTATATAAAGATGCAATCCTCGTGGCTTAAATTTTCCCTAATATCACCCAAAATGCACTAAAGTGCACTTGTCTTGGAGAGGCCCCCTGTCTCTCTCACTATGAAAGAAAAGCAGCTACCTGCCCATGCAATGTACCTTCGCCCAAACACAGCCAGTGTGTGCAGCATGAAAAATGCAACTTTTAATTCAATAATTTGCTGCCTACCAAGTTTTTAGCAAGAAGGGTGTCCAGCCATCCTATGGATACCCATTTTTGGAAGAAATACAAGGAAAATTCACTTAATCTGTTATAGTTTTATATGAAAACATGCCTTCTGGACAGCTAGTTTTCAATGTCTGGCTGAAAGCCTGCTGCCTACTTAATGTTTTTGTCTTCCTACTTAAGTTTTCAGAAAAACCTAAATTAAATGATGCGTTTGGATGACAAGCACTAATATCCAAACACTGGTTTACTGTGAAAACTGTAAAGAATCCACGATGTTCATTAGCTGCACCTAGGTCATTGACCTGAGGTCAAATCATCTTGAGCATTGATAAAACATTCAAGATACCGCTGTATGCTGAGAATTTTTACTACATGTAAGACTCTTACCAAGGATTAGTTGACGCTGATATGAAGCTGAATTAGAGTCATTGCTGTCTCTCTTTTGGTTTGTGTAGCTGGAACTTGTTTTCAGTGGGAAACACTTTTTTTCCAGTGAATTATGACTAGACTTTTGAAGAGTAACAACCCTTGGTTTAATCATGTGAACTGGTTTTCTCACCATGGGCATCTTGACATTGGTGTGTGGTTCAAGCAACATCCCTGATTAGAGAATAATGATAATAATTAATTTACTTTCAAATGACAAGGAAACAAGTTACTATTTAAATGACTTTTTCAGTCTGTTGACATAATAATTATGTCGCACACACCTATATCAAGATGAAGAAAATGCCCCAATCAAAGACACAGTGGTTGTTTACCATTTACATGGGCAAACCGGTCAGTTAACCCTAAATCCACATACAAATTCTCCAAACTGATCTCTACATATGTCTTTAAAGATTGAGTTGAGAGAATTTGATAAAAGTTCAAAGCATTTTCTCTTAGGTGATCATTTTATTAATTCTCATAACATAATCTCGTGACAATGTATGGATATCATTAGGAGAAAAATGATGTTGGTCACTATTGGGACTGAAAGGGTTAATCAAATCGGTAAATTGGCAAACAAAACACAAGGACTGGTAAATTTTACTTCAGACAAGGCAACTTAATTTGAGTGAAGTCTACTTTTAATTGTTTCCCATTTTTTCTAGATATCAAAGACAAACAGATCCAAAACAGAAATGACAAAAAAATTCACCTCATTACCTAACACAATATCTCTCTTTTTTAATAAGAGTAATTTTTTTCTCCCTGTTCACTTTTCACTGTTGAAACTCTCTCTAAAACCGACACCTTTGGCACCAGCCCTGATTGTCTATGTCATAGTTGATAGAGAAACTTTTAGTGAGTCAAGGTAACCTGACACAAGTAATTTTAAAGCAGAACCTATTCGCAGTGAATACACACCTGAAGCCTGTTTAACTAAATGTTCAAAACAGCTAAAACTGCAACTTTGTAACAGAAAAAAGGGAATTATTCAAATGTTCAGTACAAGCAAATGTTCACAGCTTCGTAGTCTTAACGGGTAACAGTATACAATCTACAATCTAGAGCAAGACTACAATAGAGCCATATGCTAATTTAATGACATGTAGAGCACCTACACTTGCGTTTTGAGGTATTTTTCACAGTATTACATAAAGCTCTTCCTTATTGTCCGTTGATGGTTTCAAAAGTGTTCTTTGTCCCTCTTAGAGTTCTGACTGTCTTATAGAGAGAATAGACGTTTTCATGGTTTTTTCAACATTTTGTATGGATCATTTTATAAGGAAAATCCATCGGCACCACTGGAAAGAGCACCTTAACATTACTAAAACTGCCAAATTTGAAAGTGATACCTTTTCAAGAAATCACTTTCAAACTTTGCAATTCTACTAATTTTAAGGTGCTCTTTTCAGTGGTGTTGACAGATTTTGCCAAACTTGTCAATGTCAAAAATTGAAAAACCATAAAAGGTCAATAAAATGACCGATAAATAGCAGTGACCATGAAACAGGTGTCTGTCTTAGGGAGGTGTCCAGCTTATAGAGGTGTCAATTTATAAGGGGGAGTTGACTGTATTGCATGTAAATTTTACAATCAAAATGCACTCTTGTCTCCATTTTGGTTGCCACTTTTTGTATCTCTTGTATTTACATGTAAGAGTTTATATATTGAGTTTTTGTTACTTCAGAATTACCTTAAGAAAATAGTATAAATCAGCCCCAATTAGCAAAAAAAAACAAAGAAAAGATTTAAGAAAAGAAAAAGAAACAGCAGTGAAAGCCTGAAACTGGTATCAAAGATGGGATTGAAAAACTGGAACACATTTTTTTTCTTAGAATACCGGTACTCCAACAAGGAAATAAGCACCACTTTTTCAGACATTAAAATTCCTCCAGGAATTTTTTCCTAGTTGGAATAACCAACAGTACTTTCAAACTAAAATTTCTGAAAGCTATTTGCATATAGTAAGCCAACCACATTAATGGGGGTCTTCTTTCCCTAAAAGTACAATAACACAAGCAACAAAAAAAACAGGTGAGGACAAAACATGGACCCCCTGTAATGGACCGGGTCCATGGACACTTTTTTTTTGGTCTCCCCCCCCCTCCCACCTAAAAAAACAGCATAGTTAAATTATGCAAATAAACAGCATGCAACAATATCATAGTTTTAGTGACAAGGCCTAGATTGGCCAGGCCAGTCAGTTTGACAACTGGGTTGAAAGCACAGCTTTCAGAGAATAAATAGAGAAATAAATTATATATATTCACATCATTGAATCCTGGAAATAAAAAAAAGAACTATTATCATGAAGTATCTCAGCTGCTTGCAATCACAAATTCGAAAATGGAGAGTGAGACTGGGAAAGAAAGTAAATATCAGCGATCAACACCTCCAAACCTTGTTTGCGATATTTCTGTAGCTTGATGCCAGACATAATGTTTATTGTTCATTTCTCCTTTCGACTCCTTCTTAAAAAAAATGTCCATCGACCCCATCCAGATAAGTGGTCCATGGATCCTGGCTCCATGTTTTGTCCTTGACCACAAAAAGCATGTATCTTGTCTTGCAACATTGCTGCAAAACGAGTTGAATAGTGACGTTGCGCGTTTTACCACCCAGATCAAACCTGTCTTGCAACAAATCAGGTTGTTAACAGGTTTTGGTAAAAAGCTCAACATTGTTTTTCAACTCATTTTGCAGGATATTGTAAAACAAGTTTTTTTTATACCAAAGCTTCACATTATGAGTACAAGTCCCCATAAAACACGTGCATGAAAAACTGTTGTAGTATCATCGTATATTCACCAATGAAATACCCAGTGAGCTTTTGCACGAAAACATGATATCCTCACATGTTAAAATGACATGTCATCTCCACACATGAAAAGAGTAGCATTGCTATTGTTACATAATAAATCACACCATTTGCAGCAAAAAAAATCAATTGAAATGGTTTAGTATCTCATTACTGTTTATACAATAAATACAACATAAGGCTACTTGGATAAATGAAACTTCTCTTTTTGCGTTGAAGACTGAGAGTGAGTGCAATATATAATAATCATTTTACCATCATGGTACTATCTAACCTGGCATGTGCAGTTTCAGTATTTTGTCATCTTGATCATTAGCTGAATTCACCAAGAAAATTAAGTCAAGGTTTAAACACAAATAATAATAAATTAAAAGTGACCATGACCTCAGGTATATCTCAGTCTACAATGAAATGCTCTTGTCAAATCCTCAGATTTTCTTCATTATACCGGTTTGTGAACGAAGGAAACGAGAGGATTTTAAAAGGCAAAGGGTCTCATATAGATCATTTTTAAAATATCAAAGTAAAGGGTGAAGTAACGAGGTCTCCTTCATTCAATGTAAATTCGAAAGGTCTAAAACTATAAGCTTAACTATAGATCAAAGTATTTGGTAATTTTGCTCCATGAACATTTCGTTTTAAGTCAGATCATTCTGTGTTACTTTAACAATTTTTTTACCAAAACGAATCAGCGATTATATTAGCAACATAATCAGGGATCAATAAGTTAGTACTACATGTTACGGAAAGGATACGATCCTTCGACCAAAAAACATTTGTTTTGCCTGCCCTCTTCCCCGAAGCCGCCATGTTTACTTTTGAAAACCACCGCCTAGTACCCAAGCCTTGGCGCCAATGGAAAATATGTAACCAGGCCTCAAAGTTGAGCTAAACGCAAACGTATTTCCGGTTGTCAGGGTATTGTGTTTTTGGCAACTTCTCTTCTTTCGACGGGCAACGTTTTTCGTTTCGAGCAGCATTTTACATTCTGAGCAATTTCGGAGATATCGAAGCAGTTTTAAGTGCTTAAATTGGTCTTGCTTACATACTTCACTACGTTGTAGCAGACAAGTTATGAATTTTCTCAGCCTCGTTTCCAGCCGTCCTCGGCGATTTCGGATGTGACGTCACCTGTCATGCTTGTCGGTTCCAAGCATTCTCTGGTCACTCGGATAGCGCGAACAGGCCTGGGTACGAGGCTGGAATTTTCTGTAAAAAAGGAGACAGCTCATGGTCTTATGGTCTGGGGAACTACGCATGCGCCAGTTTGAGCATGTCCGGTCACTTTTTCAGTCACACTTTCCAGTCAGATCAAAGTCTCCCATGCGCGCTTGGCTTCATTCTGCGTGCAGCCTGTGGTTCAGTTGTTCTGCTTCATGCTGCTCGGGTTTTTGACTATTTTGTAGTTACTGAAATTGCTTTTATCGGATAACCAGGCACAGATCACTGAAACAATTAATCGCTTAGGTTCAGAAAAGGTAAGCTGATAATAACACAGTGTGTAATTTTGGCCAGAGCGTCAGGTAAACTGATTTTCATTCACGAAAACAAAGCTTTTGACTGCCATTTTTCACTTAACCTGGCTGAAAGTAAGACATAAAAAGTTATCATTGCAACCTTGTGTATTAATTGTAGTTCTAATTTTCAGTTCTTCAGTTTCTCAGTCTTCATGTCTTAAAGCTGATTCGAGCTTTATTTGGAAAACGACAACACACAATCGCTTTGTAGTTTTATTTACCAGTGAACGAAACTCTTCTGAGTTGATTGCCATGAAACATAAGCTTAATTATAATGTTGAGGTTGGCAGCAAATTGACAACTCTATTTATTTTTCTCATTCTCAGAATCAGAGATCGAGTTAAAGCTGGTTCGATGGCTTTTAGAAGTTGAAATTTTCATGCCATGTATTTAGCAGCTGGAAGTTTCGTGTTTGTATGAGACGCAGCCGGGCCGCACAGTCTGAAATTATTGAAGTCTTCAACCAAAGGACAACCATGTAAAAGAATTAAGGTGACTCGACCCAGTTTTTTTGGGGGGGTACCATCCTACTTTGAAGCTCTCTGGTATCCCCACCTTTACTTTTATCGTAAGTCTAACACATAGAATGGATAACATATAGATCAATCTACAATATAACATAAAATTTTTGGCGATCGGAGTAAATGTCACGTGGTTATAATGCCACGCCCCTTTGAGGTCTGAGTCGAAAATCTGCTGTTGCCGGCATTTTTTCGTGAAAATCTCTCGGCTACACATAGTGCGCATTAGTGCCTTGCGCTGAACAGAGTTTCACCAAAATCGCAAAGACCCAATTCGAGAAATTCAGCGGTTTCCAAATTTAGGTCATAATTTATGCGAAAATGATAAGCAAACTTTACACGGATTATATCTAATAAACTATGAGATTCATCTCTTTATTTTGGGCATCGTTATAACAGATGGGTCCTTGCAAGTCAGCAAAACGCTTTAGGGCCTTGTAAATGCGCGCGATTTCGAGCAAAGCAAACATATAGAAATTATAGTTTTCGCTATTTGTTGACGTTTGTCAGCGTTTAAGAGTCCTTCTCACGAAAAAAGCATTTTCTTAAAAATTCGTAGTTTTTTTTCCTTCAAATTTTTTCAGGGCCACAATTGATTAACTAACTACCCGGACTCTGAATTTCATGGTCATTGAAAAACTGTGACATTATCTTCTATAAGCCCAAACTTGAGTAAACATTGAAGATTTTTAGCGTTTTGGCTGAGTTTGTGCTTTGGGAGTTGTCTATTGTTTCTAGTCTGTCATTATACAGCATTCTTGTTCAGCACGCGTGCAATGACCGCGCTTGGCTGACTTCCGAATGCTCACCGAGATATAATAATTTTGGTACAGTGAGACAGGCCATCGCGTGATACATAGAGGTTTAAGTCACAATTTTTAATCAATTCTCGTGCTTCTTGTGCCTTTGCAAAAAAATCAAGAAGTGCTACACACTAAATCTACTTACTATTAAAAAAATATCATTTTTTCATAGGTTTAATGCAAGCCAATAATTAAACCAACTCGTGACGGGAATATCTCGGTGAGCATTCGGAAGTCAGCCAAGCGTGGTCATTGCACGCGTGCTGAACAAGAATGCTGTATAATGACAGACTAGAAACAATAGACAACTCCCAAAGCACAAACTCAGCCAAAACGCTAAAAATCTTCAATGTTTACTCAAGTTTGGGCTTATAGAAGATAATGTCACAGTTTTTCAATGACCATGAAATTCAGAGTCCGGGTAGTTAGTTAATCAATTGTGGCCCTGAAAAAATTTGAAGGAAAAAAAACTACGAATTTTTAAGAAAATGCTTTTTTCGTGAGAAGGACTCTTAAACGCTGACAAACGTCAACAAATAGCGAAAACTATAATTTCTATATGTTTGCTTTGCTCGAAATCGCGCGCATTTACAAGGCCCTAAAGCGTTTTGCTGACTTGCAAGGACCCATCTGTTATAACGATGCCCAAAATAAAGAGATGAATCTCATAGTTTATTAGATATAATCCGTGTAAAGTTTGCTTATCATTTTCGCATAAATTATGACCTAAATTTGGAAACCGCTGAATTTCTCGAATTGGGTCTTTGCGATTTTGGTGAAACTCTGTTCAGCGCAAGGCACTAATGCGCACTATGTGTAGCCGAGAGATTTTCACGAAAAAATGCCGGCAACAGCAGATTTTCGACTCAGACCTCAAAGGGGCGTGGCATTATAACCACGTGACATTTACTCCGATCGCCAAAATTTTTATGTTATATTGTAGATTGATCTATATGTTATCCATTCTATGTGTTAGACTTACGATAAAAGTAAAGGTGGGGATACCAGAGAGCTTCAAAGTAGGATGGTACCCCCCCAAAAAAACTGGGTCGAGTCACCTTAAATAGGCATTTTCTTGATTGAAAGTCACTTATAGGAATGTTTAGTTTCCCGGCATTGAAAGCTCCGGGTGTTCGTGACTGCAGTCATCAAAGTCGAAGTTGTTTGTAAATCCCGCCCATCGATTGTTTTGAGTTCTTGTTTTCTCTGATAATAAAAAAATTATTGAACGGACTAAAATTTCATTTCCTGGTTCTAGTGTTAATGATAATGATGACGTCTTTTATTTTGGTTTCCTTCACAAGTATTGCCATTCTTTTCTTAGCTACCGCCTTCTCCCAAAACCAGTAGCATGCAAGAAATCCAGTAAAAACAAATTCGTCTTGTCGAGCGCTCGCGACCTGCAAACTTCAAACATCATTTTCACCGTTGGTGCAACCAGATAACCATGTGGTGCAAAAGTTTAACACTAGAAAAATTTATAAGCTTTCGAATAAAGTGATTTTTTTCGCCCCCTTTTTTGTCTGTTTCTCCCTTTTTGCTTTTAAACTTGGCGCGACGGCAATGTTATGCTTACGCAATTGGTCTATATACTAGACCGGAAATAAAAAGCTGACCGGATGTTAAATTTTGTGCTCATGCGCAGTGTGTTTTGCCCGCGGTGTTCGTCTGGGCATCCCCAGGCGTTATCGGCTCGGTCATTCCTGGACTCTACCATGAGCAGTGACGTCACCGAGAGATACTCTCCGAGAACGACACAATCTCGACCAAGAGCTCCTCTGCGCGTGTAGAGGAGAGAGATGAGAACGACAGGGTTAAACGACAGGGCTGAATAACGTACTACACATGTCCGTGACATCACTTGTTTACTTGCCTGAGCCTGTGCGCGAAGCACTCGTGCAGAGCTGGTGAAATTCTTGCATGTGAGATCATTTTATCTTCGACCATTTGTTAAACTCGTATTTGTGAATGCCAACGAAGGAGAAATTCTACAATACGTTGGAAATGCAACTCATGGAAAGAAATGTTACGTACTCAGTCCAGGGATCAAGGAAAATGTTTTTGACCGTCCCGCCGAGGTTTTTCATTGTTTTGATCGTCACTAAAAAGTTTGCAGAAACATGACCTGGAAATTAAGAAAGAGCAATGTGCTGGAGTTTGGGCGACTTTTCTTCGATGGTACGTACACGATTTACTTAAATTTATGATTTACTTAAATTTACTTTATTGTGGTTAAAGAGGAGCAAATCTTTGTTATGTACTTAACTTACTTATTCATTTAAATTTACGATTTAATGTAGCCGAGCGATAAAAGTTGTTGACCGTTTCTTGGTGGCAAGAAAGCCGACTTTGAGTGCGATGATACCATCAGACACAAGAAGTCATGAAAGTCATCCTCATAAACTTAGTTACAAATCGTAGTGCGATCAAAGAAGCTTTTTTCTTAAATATAGCTTTAGCCGGTTTAGAGGCGCTGGTCGAGCTGTAGAATCAGTATTTATTCGGTTAAGTTTGTTTAAAATTTAATTCGCACCTCTAAGCTTATTAATGAATAAACTTTTAAAGTTTAAAGCTGTTGAAACTTTGAGAAACAATCACAAGCTGGCTCAGGTGAATTTTCGTATTAATTATAACAGGTTTGAATGAAGCAGAAGAATTAAGGAATGAAGATCTAGACTTCGGAGAGAAAAATAAATAAAAGTTTATAAAGAGTCAGATTTTGCTTTGCCCCCCACCCCCCCTCGGGGGGGGGAAGGCACTCCCTTATATCAAGTCATTGATACTTTTACCAGCAGGCATCGAATGCATTACTTACCTATCGGACGATTTCTTAGAACTGATAACATATTGATAATCTCCTGACTTTCATTTCTGTTTTCGCTTGAAAATGTACACATTCGAATGAAAGAACTGTTTTCGGCTTCATCCGTGTATCTTCTTTTGTTCATAGAAAAAAACGGAAGAAACAT